CAGTACTTTTGAAGTGGAAGCAGGAGGACCAGAAGCCCAGGGTCATCCTAAGCTACCTAGAGTTCAAGGGCAGCCTGGGACACAGCAGACTGCTTATGAGTAGAAATAATAAATGTAGTTTCGCCTCCAAAGCCACAGAGAAACCTTGTCTCGAAAAACCAAAAAATAAAAAAAAATAAAAATAAATGTAGTTTCTGGTCATTTTAGTCTTATCTGTTAAAGGAAGACGCCTGTGGGTTATTTCCCTTCCCCTGCAGCTCTAAGATGCCGTTCTGAACTGCTATGATTTAAAACAATTCCCAGGGGCTGGAGAGATGGCTCAGAGGTTAAGAGCACTGGCTGCTCTTCCAGAGGTCCTGAGTTCAATTCCCAGCAACCACATGGTGTCTCAAACCATCCATAATGAGATCTGGTGCCCTCTTCTGGTCTGCAGGGATACAGGCAGACAGAACACTGTATACATAATAAATAAATCTTAAAAAAAAAAACAATTCCCAGACTTCTTGGTTTTGGCTTCCTGTTGAGAAAAAAGTTATCAGTTTGAGGTGGTAGCACAAGCCTTTAATTCCAGCACTAGTGAGGCAGACCAGCCTGGTCTACAGAACGAACATTAGAACAACCTGACCTACACAGAGAAACCCTATCTCCAAAATACAAAATAAATAAAAGTAAGGAAATTGCCTGTCAAATAGGAATAAATGGCTGCTGGGATTAAAATTCAAAATACTTAAAGGTGGGAGTGAATCCAGATTTGGTGGCACACCTGGATAGTAATTTGAAAGACAGTAAGAGAAAGATCAGTAGTTTAAGGTTATCTTCAGCTATATAACAAGTTCCAAGCCAGCCTGGACTATACAATACTACTCTGTTTTGCCTCCCACCCAAAGGAAAAGATTTTGTTTGATAGGGGCTGTCCTTTTGTATATATGTTTCTCTTATTGGTTGATGAATAAGACACTGTTTGGCTAATGGTCAGGTAGGAAGGATAGGCGGGGCTACCATTCGAGAATTCTGGGAAGTGTAGGCAGACAGGAGTCATGATGTAGAGTCCAGGAAGAAAGGATGCATCAGGTGTTCTCCTGTAAGCCAAGATTATGTGAAAACACATATATTAATAGAAATGGGTTAATAATTAAGACAGAGCTAGCCAATAAGCAGCCCAAGCCACCAGCCAACATTTTATAATATAGCATCTGTGTTTATTGGGGTTGAAGCAGTTATGTGACCTGACTGGAAAGAACCTCCTTACACATGTTATTTATATTTTATTAATTTGTATGCATATGGGTGTTTTGTCTGAATGCAGTTTTGTGCACCATGTGTATGAAGTGCCTGTGGAGACCATGTGTGTGCAGTGTAGGTGGATTGGTAAAATTGGGCATTGGAGTTACAGTTGTAATTTGCCATGTATTCCTCTGGAAGAGCAGAGCCATTTCCAACTCCTTGTGTTTTGCTTTCTTTTTTAAAATAATTTTTATTTGTATTTTATTTACATTGATATTTTGCTGGAATGTCTGTGTAAGGCTGTCAGATCCCCCAGAACAGGAGTTACAGACAGCTGTGGGCTGCCATGTGGGTGCTGGGAATTGAACCTGGATCCTCTGGAAGAGAAGTCAGTGCTCTTAACCACTGAGCCATTTCTCCTGCCCCATGTTTTGCTTTCTTATCATTGTCACAATAGTGCCAATCTGACTCTAGCCTCCAATGCCCTCCAACTCTTCTAGGAGTGCACTGACAAAGCTATTTCAGAGATACAAGCAACAGCTGGGATGTATTTCCTTTTCAGAAGTCTGCAGGGTCCATCCTCTTCCACACCCTGAGCTCCTGGAAGCCCCAAATTACAACCTCAGTTATGCTTAGATTGCTTCAGTGTTTTCCTGTAGGTTACAAAGTCTGAGCTCTCTTCTGGGTTTTTAAGACCTACCAGTCCCTTAATTTGAAAACCCACCAATCCCTGGGCTCTGGACTTGAAATCACACCAATCCCCAACCTGGAAAACCTGCCCCCAAGAAAACTCTATGTAAAGCCAGGCTTTGGTGGCACAAGCCTTTAATCCCAGCACTCGGGAGGCAGAGGCAGGCAGATCTCTGTGAGTTTGAGGCCAGCCTGGTTTACAGAGCGAGTTCCAGGACAGCCTCCAAAACAATACAGAGAAACCCTGTCTCGAGAAAAAAGAAAAAAAAAGAAAAGAAAAACCCTATGTAAGCCTGTCTCCTGCTCAGTTCCCTGCTGCTTCTTGCCCTAATAGATGTCTGGTAAGGCTTGTTACTGAAGGGACTCTAGTCCACATGAGCATGTGGCAGGCTCTAGCAGGCCTGGCTTGCCCTTCTCCCCCACTCCTGTTGCTTTCCTAAAAAACCCTGTTAGATTTCATTCCTAAAGATCTAGTCCCTTATTTGGCCACTTCCTCCTCCTGAGGCTGACACCAAAGTCTAGTAAGCAAACGCCCCCTTTGGATCACCCAATTAACATGCCTTATCAAAATATACTACCACATCCTAGCCCATCCTAACACAGACCTTTTTTTTTTTTCCCTGAGAGAGGTTTTCACAGTGCAGCTTTCGAGCCTGTCCTGGAACTCACTTTGTAGACCAGGCTATGAGATCCATCTGCCTCCTCAGGGCTGGGATTAAAGGTGTCTACCACCGCCGCCACCACCACCACCACCCGGCTTCCTTTTCTTAAAAATTACATCTGCACCCACCTTTAATCTCAGCATTTGGGAGGCAGAGGCAGGAGGATCTCTGTGAGTTTGAGGCCAACTTGGTCTATCGAGCTAGTTCCAGGACAGCTAGGACTACACAGAAAAACCCTGTCTTGAACCACACCACCACAAAAAAAAAAAAAAAAAAAGACACCTGCAAGGTCATTTGCTGCTGTTTTCTGAGTCAGAAAGCAACCACTAATTTTTCTTCCCTGTTTAGTAAAGCATTTCTATGAAAACAGGTGTTTTAGTGCCTCATTGGGGGGAGGGGCCTGAGGAGGGAACCTCTGCTGTGCAGTAGGATCTCCTTCAGTTGTGTGGTGTGACTTTGTGATATTCCTTGGCTCCAGACTGCCAGGTTAGCTGGTCTCCTTAGTGAATACCTACTGTTGAAATAGTCCCTACCAGTTTGACTTTTGGTTTTACTTCTTTTCCATGTGTATGTGTTTTGCCTGCACGTGTCTCTGTGCATCACTGTGGCAGCTGTTCAAGGTCAGAAAGAGTTACAGATGGTTGTGAGCCAACATGTGGGTGCTGACAATTGTATCCAGGTCCCCTGAAGAACAGCCAGTGCTCTTAATTGCTGAACCATCTCTGCAGCCCCTGCTTGTTTTTTTGCAACAGGTTCTTATTCTGTAGCACTGTCTCCAGCCCCAGATGGAGACAAGGATGACCTGGGACTCAGAACTACCTGCATCTGCCTCCAAAATGCTGCAACTATATGCATGAGCTGCTGCATCCAGCTATATCAAAATGTTTTTTTCCAGCCGGGCATTGGTGGCGAACACCTTTAATCCCAACACTCAGGAGGCAGTGGCAGGCCCTGGATCTCTGTGAGTTCAAGGTCAGCTTGGTCTACAGAGCTAGTTCCAGGACAGCCTCCAAAACAACGAGAAACCCTGTCTCGAAAAAAAAAATGTTTTTTTCCTTGGAGACCTCCATTGTAGGTTGCATTTTGTTGTTTTGTGAACCAGTGAGGTTTCTGGGTGAACAGAGGTTGCTTACAGGCCCATGGTGACTAAAAGCAGCTCTGAATCACTGCAAAGGCCATTTTAGAATGGGTACCACTCTGTGGTGATGTTTTTATGATCTAACAAATAAAGCTTGCCTGAAGATCAGAGTACAAAGTTAGCCAGAGGCCAGGCAGTGGTGGCACACACCTTTAGTCCCAGCACTCTGGAGCCAGAGGCAGATGGTTCTCTCTATTAAGTCAAGGCCAACCTGGGTTATACAAAATTGTTCAGTCTAAGAGAGAAAGAGCTCAAAGGTGATCCCAGTACTAAGGAGGTAGAGACAGGAAGGGATATGGCTGGGCAGAGAGAGGAATTCAAGTTACTCTGAGGATCCAAAGAGACAGGGTTGCCCATTTGGTCTGAGGTAGTTAAGAGCTAGTGGCTGGCTGCTCTGGTTGTCTGATCTTTCAGACCCCCCCCCATATCTGATTCTGGGTTTTTATTATTAATACTGATTAGAATTCAAGCAACACCACTCACCAAACCTGCATCCAAGAAACTCCCTGTTCAACTTGTAGGAAGCTCCACCAGAGAATCTGCTGTCCTCCAGCAGTTGTTACTGTTTATATAACCTTAGGGAGGTTATTAGGTTTGTATTTTTGAGACAGGGTCTAAAGAGAACCCCGGGGCAGAGAAGCTGTAAATCTCAGGTTGGCTTCTAACTCCTGTGTAGCTGAGGATCCAGATCCTCCTGCATCCTCCTGCCCGTCAAAGCAGGAGTAAAGAACTACACGTTGCTCTCCTCCCACCCTCTGTGTGTCACTGAGTACTGAACCTAAGTCGGGGAAGTACTCAACCACTGGGCTCTATCTCTCACCTCTTTATTATTTATCAGGGGGTGGAGGGTGGACACAGGGTTTGTGTGTAGCCCCAGCTGTCCTGGCACTCAGTGTAGACCAGGCTGGCCTTGAACTCAGATCCACCTGCCTGCATCCCAAGTGCTCAGATTAAAGCACTAGCATGCCTATTGCCCAGCAACTATGTTAAGTTTTATGGTAGTTTTGTTATAATGCATAATGTCTAATTTTTTTATGTCGCTAATTTTTGTTTTAGTTTTTGAGAAAGAATTTCACTTGGGCTGGGGATGTAGCTCAGTGAGAGAATGCTTACCTAGCACGTGTGAGGCTATGGGTTTCCCCTCTAGCACCACAGACATGGTCTCAATATGCAGCACAGCTTGGCCACCAAATCAAAACCCTCCTGCTCTAGCCTCGATAGGGTTGGCAAGGACCACCATGCTTGGTTTATAGCCATTTTTTAAAACTAAAATAAACATGAGTCAGTTTTTATTAATCATTCTTTTAATCAATGAAATATATATATATTTAGAACTCAGAGATGCCACTGCCTCTGCCTCCCAAGCACTGAAATTAGTTAGGCATGTACCACCATGCCCAGTCTCTTTTAAATTTTATTTCTAACATCTGCACAGCTTTAGTATTCTGATAAAATTAAATGTTTTCCACAAAGATGAGGAAAACAACAGTTCACCAATGACCAATGAAAAATGTAATACTTTCTAACATAAAGGCATAAACAATAGGAATAACAGAAAGGCTAAAAGAGAAATGACAAATCTCAAAACCAACTTCAATCAAGATGACTTCCCCCTGGGCAAGCTGGTGGAGAAGTACATAAATTCTAACCATATCACTCCTCTTTTTCTTTTTCCTTTTGGTCATGAAATATTCCACAAAGATTCAATGTGATAGCTTTTAATGTGGTGTTCCAACACTTAAAGCATCAAGTTAAATTGCTCTTAGAAAAAAATTTGCCAAGATAAACATAAAAACAATCTCAAAACTTGGAAGAAAAAGCTCAAATGACAAAAATGTGGATCAAGCCAAACTCTGTACCAGGGCAGTTCATTATGTTCACAGTATATGGATGTCAGGATACCAGATACTAGTGGAAAGATAATAGTAAAGTTAAACTTCCTAAGATTAAGTCAGTTTTCTTTGAATTACCTTTCAGGGGAAGCCTGGGAAAACCCCACATACCACTTTCCATCTCTGCACACAAACAAAAAGTATGAGCCAGTAAACAATAAGGGTGGTTATTGACAGTGTGCAACAGAAGCCTACAGTATAATTTTCCTGCAGTAGATTTCCTTTTTTCTAGAAGAGATCAGTAGAAATATCCCAATATTTGCCAAGATACCATGATGTAAAAGCTGAAAACCCAAAATATTTTTTGGCACCTAAAGAAGGGTTCATGGAGCTGGGCGTTGGTGGCGCACGCCTTTAATCCCAGTACTCGGGAGGCAGAGGCAGGCTGGTCTCTGTGAGTTCGAGGCCAAGCCTGGTCTACCGAGTTCCAGGACAGGCTCCATTACAATACAGAGAAACCCTGTCTGGAAACCACCCCCCAAAAAAAGAAGGGTTCATGTTGTGCCACAAGAAATCCAGTGCCTATTCTAGACCCAGTTTCTGGTTACAGTTCCAGTGACCCCTAACTGCCAACCCACCACTCAGTCCCATCCCACTCTTAAATCCTTCTGTGTTAACCACCTAGTAGCCCTTTGGTCAATTACTTGATGTAGATCCTAGTCCATCTTAAACCAAAGGAAATGCTAGAATGCTTAAAGCAGGTATGGGAATAAACTACTTTAGTGTTATGGAAAATACCCTTGCGGATTCCTTACCCATTCATGGCACCTGAAGATGTCCCACCTAGGCATTTTATACTTGTAAAGACTGCTGCAATTACAACATAGCAGTACTGACAACACAAACAATTCTTAAGGACCTTTCCTTGCCACTGACTTTTGCAGAAAAGTCTACATATTTGTACTCTTCCTTTGTAATCACCCCTTAGAAAAGTGAGTAAGCGTGCTTGCTGAGCAGAAGTTAATGACATCTCAAAGTTTTATGATGGGAAAGAGATAGCTTTACAATACAGCTTTACTGGATTACAAGACACTCTCTTTAGCCATGCTTTGCTTGGTTTATCGCTGAAACATCTGGATAATACTTTTCTGTGAATTACTAGACTGTAGGGAATAAGTGCGCTTAGATACATTACTACAATCATCTTTAGTAGAACTTGGCATCTTTCTTCCATTAACTGACTCCTTCCATGTGCTTTTAAAGGGTTGCCAATATTCATCTTTTGTGCTCCTCTGAGATTTGGACCTCTCTGAATTAGTGGGCTTTGCAGAGTTCCTATCTTTGGAATTCTTCCTCTGTTTACTCAGCAGCCTGTCTGGTGGTGAAGATGTGCGCAACTGGTACTGATTTGGGGATCCTTTTTGTCGGTTAAGCATCATCGGTTCTTTGTCTACCTCTTTCTGAAGCTGTAATGCTAACAATCGGTCCTGTTCTTCTTGCTTATGTCTCTCAAAAAGCCTGTGTTCCAAATCTATCAGTTTTTGTGTAAAATTCACTTCTGTTTCTTCTTGATCTGATGATTTGAGGACCACTTTCCTTCTTTTTGCAGAAAAGCATGGATCCATGACTACTTCAGACACAGACTCCTGGTTTTCTTTTTCGGAAATCTCTTTTCCAACTACTAGATGAGGTACTCTACTTTCTGGAACTCTGTTACCGCCAGCTAACTGGGCCATACCTGACACAGAGCATTCTTCATTTTCTATTTTACCAGAAGGCTTAACTGTAGCTTCATTAGAGTAGGAAACTTTGGCTTTAGATCCCTCATGATTTACAACACATAAATCATCATGATTGGTTGATAGTGTCTCAACTGTTCCTTCAAGGCACTGTTCGGCATCACTGACACGTAACCATGGCACAGGTGACTCTGCCAAAGACTCTGAACCTTGTTCTTGGGTTTCTAGGCATATCTGAGGAGAAAGTGTTGGCATATCTTTTTCAATTTCTGTGTCTTGCCACACAGGGCTCTTCATGTCACTACTGTCAATTTCCTGTAGAAAACAAAATTACTGATTGTATAAAGGGAACATATATAAGCCACCTACCCCCACACCATAGGTGAACGGTCACTATACACCATCACATATTACTAACAAGGTATGTTCTCATCACCTTTGCTCCCCCCACCTTTCCTTCTCTTCTCTTTCTTGATGGGAACAAGAATCAGAACCTATGTCTATCATAATTCTTTCTTAATCCTATGTTTACCTTGTGTGCCAAGTAAGATTAGGACAATTAATTTCACTGCCATGAACGCCTACAATAAGCCCCACACCTATATCTAACATATGGCCAATAGCTGGCATCAGGCCTCTTTCATCTTATAAACTTTGACTCCAGGACGTCTTGACCTTTATAGATCTTCTCTGGCATTTTAAAGGTTTTATATTGTGTGTGTGTGTGTGTGTGTGTGTGTGTGTGTGTGTGTGTGTGTGTGTATGTGCATGTGTGCATATGTGGCAGGGGATATATGGACATGAGTGCAAATCTCCAGAGTCTAGAGATGGCATTGAATCCCCTGGAGCTGGAGTTATAGTCAGTTAATGTAAATGCTGGGAACCAAACTTGGGTCTTCTGGAGGAGTACTGAGTGATCTTAACTGAGGCATCTCTCCAGCCCTTCTTTGTTTTTTTCCCCTTCAGTTTTTTGAGATAGTTTCTCTTTCTCTAGCTTTGGAGGCTGTCCTGAAACTCACTCTGTAGACCAGGCTGGTCTTGAACTCATAGAGATCCGCCTGGCTTTGCCTCTTGAGTGCTGGGAATAAAGGCAAGCGCCACCAACTGGGCCTGAATGAAGTGCTTATACAAATCTCTTCTGAGGAAATTTCTTCTTTGAGATAGGGTCTGACAACTTAATCTGACCTGAAACTCTTGAACAAGAGATTCTGTACTGTAGCTTCCAATGTTGTAGGACTACAGGCATATGGCACTGTGCTTCAACGTTTTCTGTTTGGTTTTGCTGGGCATGAAACCTAGGACCCTGTCACATGCTGGGAACAACGCTCTACTACTGATAGCCAGGAAGATTTTTTTCCCCTTGAGACAGGGTTTCTCTGTGTAACAACTCTGACTGTCCTGGAACTCACTCTGTAGACTAGGTTGGCCTCGAACTCACAGAGACCCTTTTGCCTCTGCCTCCAGAGTGCTGGGATTAAAGGTGTGTACCACGTCGCCTGGCCAAATTATTTTTAAAAACAAAACTTGAGATACAAAGTTCCAGGACAGCCACAGTAAGACCTTGCCTAAAAACAAATGAACAAACAAACACACAAGGGTTGGAGATGCAGCTCAACTGGCAAAATGCTTGCCTAACATGTAAGAAATCCTGGATTCAAACCCTAGTATCACATAATATCAGGTACGGTGGTATATACTCAAAACTCCCACACACAGGAGGTGGAAGCAAAAAGAGCAGTCGTTCAGGATCATCCTGGCCTCATAGCAAAAGGTAAAAGCTACCCTAGGCTATGTGACATCTGGTTTTGTTTTTCTTTTTCTTTTTTGGTTTTCTGAGACAGGGTTTCTCTGTGGGTTGGGATTAAATGTGTGCGCCACCATCGCCTGGCATTTTTTTTAATTCATAAAAGGTAATTATTGATAAACTAAGTAGGATATATTAGCAAGGTGTCATCTGAATATCTAGGAAGAGATGATTTTCAAAAAATTTGTGTAAACCCTTGTTTCCCTTCCCCTCCACTTCCCTTGGTGCCGGGGATCAAATCTGGACCTCACTTTATGTATACACTGTATTACTGATCTACAGTTCTAGCTCATTCTGTTTCTCAGGTTCCTGGTAGGTGCAGATTCATTTTAATATCCTTTATGAACATGTGTCTGTTTAAGACAATGTCTCATGTAACCCAGGCTGGCCTCAAACATAAGATCCTCCTGCCTCAGCCTCCCAAACTCTGGCATATCCCACATTCCTAGCCACTATTTGTGTTTTCTCTAATGACAAAGTAACAAATACTATTACCAGCACTGTGGTTTATCTACATTGAGCATGAATAGAAACACTAAATTAGAGACTAGCAAAAATATGCTTTCTCTTATTTAGCCCTTAGGTAAAGAACTTAACTTACAAGACTGGAGTGACTAATACTGGCTGCACAGCCAGAGGGCCCAAGCCAGAGGACCAAAATTCAATTTCCAACACCCACATGAGAGTTCACAGCTATCTGAGACTGTTCCAAGGGATTTGTCGCCCTCTTCTGGACTCCACAGGCACCAAATATGCAGGCGGACTTGGAGGCAAAATACACAATTCCTTTAAAAATTATTATTTTGGTTTTTTAAAACAGAGTTTTACTCTCTGTATCCCTGGCTGTCCTGGAACGCATTCTGTAAACCAGGCTCTCCTCAAAATCAGAAATCCTTCTGCCTCCTGAATGGTGGGGTACCACCACCACCTGAAAAAATAAACACATTAAAAAAAAAAAAAAGCCAAAGTTTGAAGTGACTTACAGATCCCTGAGAGCTGCCCACTAGGGATGCTACCAGAAATAATTGAATATTTTGGAAACAGAGTTTTATTATGAGTTCAGACTGGCACGGAACTTGCTACGTAGTTCAATTCACAATCTTCTGGCCACAGCCTCCACCTGCCTAAGTGAAAGGATTATAGGTCCAGAAATCACTCTGACATGGGGTTTGAGTGCCACCACACTCTTACTGACACAGCCCTCCTAGAAGAGCATCTTAAGGTTGTCTAGGTAAAGTGGTGCCAGGTGTAGCCTATCAGCTGTGTAAATGCTGTCAAGTTAGCCTGATTTTAGAAACCCTGGCCCAGAAGCCAAGTCCAGGCTGCTGCCTATGTTTGGGAACAGTTTGGGACTGGAGAGTTGGCTCGGTTCAGAGCACCTGTTGCTCCTGCAGAGGACTCCGATTGATTCCTGGCACCCGCACGACAGCTTCCAACCCCCGTATCCCAGCCCAGGGCAATGCCCCCTTAGGGTCTTCTTGAACACCAGACATCCACATGCTGTACACACACAAAAGCACAACATTTATGAGGCTAGGCAGATGGCTTAGTGGCTAAGAGCATTGGCTACTCTTTTGGAGGACCTGGACTCAAATCCCAGCCCCCAAAATAACAGTTCACAACTGTCTAACTTCAGTTCCAGGGGATACTATACCCTCATACAAATATACATACAGGTAAAACACAATGCACATAAAATAAAAATAAATCATTAGAGCTGCGTATGGTGGTACACGTCTTTAATCCCAGCACTCAGGAGGCAGAGGCAGTTAGATCTCTTGAGTTTGGGGCCAGCCTGGTCTATAGTTCCAGGATAGCCAGGGATACACAGAGAAACCCTGTCTCGGGGTTGAGTGGGGTGGGGAAGAAAAGTTTTCCTGGATACAGATAAGCTCACTTGTTTGCATATTTACTAAGGAGGTATCCACTGGGAGGAGCAATGGCAGAGCGCCTCTGATAACAGAGAAAAAGTGAGATGAAGACCGCACAAGTCCTAGTAACCCACAGAGGAGTCAAAGCCCTGAGAGCTTCTTCAGCACCAACATACCTTAGATAAGCAGCTTTTATCTTCTCCACATACAGCTTCACATGGCCATGCTGACCCAGACTTCAATTTAGGTGACAAATATCTTTAAGCAAAAAAATGTTAAAAGTTACTAAATCTTGAATACCTCGAAAAAAGCAATATGCTAAAGGAATATGAACCACTTATACCTAAAGGTTGTGTGTTTGCTGGCTATTTAACTTACTGGAGCAGATGTCATCTCCAGGGACACAACCTGAAACCTGAGTAGTCTAGGACAGTGAGAGTGCCTGTCTAGCAGCTGGAAGTCCTAGCTTCCTGCCTGCACTGCAGGGGGTGGATGGGGGTCTCTGTGGTGATATATTTATGATTTATTAAGGCTTACTGTGGGGACACCACACCTTGAGCAGAAACCCACTTCCCCTTCTGCTCTGGGAGCAGGCAGCTGTGAGATAATGTTTACTGAAAACAATTCAGTGCTATAAAGCTCTTGATAGGGCTCAGATAAGGGCTCACTCACTGAAACACCATGACTTTGACACCCCCTACGGCTAGATGCCTCTTCCTGCTCCCTGCTGTGTCTCCCCGATTCTGGGGCTTAAACCACCAGCCAGGAGGGTGAGAAGTCTGGAAAGAATTGTATGTAGATGGATGGCAGAAGTCCTTAAAAAAGGGAAGCGTTTTTTTTTTCTTGGGAGCTCTCTCTCCTAAGCGGACTTGGGGTCTCCTCCTAAGCTGACTTGGGAAGCATAAAGTTTTCTTAAAGCAACCGACTGGTCTCTGTGTCATCTATCCCGACCATCTCGCTACATTCTCAGATGCAGGCTGCACAGCAGGTGCGACAGCTTGCCTGAAGATTAAAAAAGCAAAGTCAGCCACAAGCTATAGAGGACAGGCAGTGGTGGCACACACCTTTAATCCCAGGACTCAGGAGACAGGCAGATGAACCTCTGAGTTCACATGAGATTGAATCAGTCTAAAAGAGTTAACACAGCTCATGCCTTTAATCCCAGGACTCATGAGAGGTATTTAAGACAGAAACAGGGTCTCAGAGATGGCATTCATTCTCCAACCACATTGAGGATACAAAGCATATCAGTCTGAGTGAATATGAGGAACAGTGAAGTCGGGAGAAGTGTGAAGATCACCCCTTTGGTCTGGGCTGAAGTAGAAATAAGAGCTGGTGGCTGGCTGCTTTGCTTTTCTGATCTTCAGCTTGAAGTTTGAACCCCAATATCTGTCTCTGGGTCTTTTATATTGCATACTACAGATTTCAATACAGTATTTTAGTATAAAAACATTAAAGAAGCCGGGTGTTGGTGGCGCACGCCTTTAATCCCAGCACTCTGGGAGGCAGAGGCAGGCGGATCTCTGTGAGTTTGAGGCCAGTCTGGTCTACAGAGCTAGTTCCAGGACAGGCTCCAGAACAATACAAAGAAACCCTGTCTTGAAAAAGCAAAAAAACAAACAAACAAACAAACAAAACAAAACATTAAAGAAAAGGTCATACTAAATATCTCAAAAATATCTTTAAAAAACATAAGCTCAGTAACAAAACTTGAAGAATCAGTGGTCGATATGAACAAAACTCAAAGTATACAGTAGGTCATCAATGGATAAATGGCAGCCATGTTCACTTACTTTTGAATATCTCCAAAGTTCTTTTGTTTGTTTGTATTTTTCTTTTGTGACTTGTTTGTGACTGCATCAGATTTTCTGGAACTCGAAGGAGAAGCCAAGATATTTTTCTCGTAGTTACTGTTCTTCAATCACAAGAAAAACAAAAACATTATGAGAAAAAAAGCTTTGAATTCTATGAACTCAAAATTCTTAACAATTATTCAGAAACCGAATTCTTCAAATCCTTTGAAGAATCCTGAGCATGTTCATACTTCATTCTCATTATCTACACTTTATTTCGTAATAGTCATCCACATAGCATTTACATTGTATTACAGACCATAAGATATGATTTAAAGTCCACGGGAGGCAAGACTGTTCAGTGGCCAAGGTGTTCATGCTAAATCTGGCAACCTGAGTTCCATCTCAGGACCCATATGATAGAAGCAAAACCAACTCTCACAAGCTGTCCACTGACCTCCACACAAGATGCTGTGGTACATGTGTACACACACACTCATCAAATACATAATTGTAATAAAAATAAGGATGCAGGAGAATATTTTTTGGTTATATGCAAAGCTGTGCCATTTTATATAATATTTGACTATCTTTACATTTTTATATACATGGGAGATTCCAAAAACTAATTTATATGCCAAGGGATGCCTCTATAAACAAAAATAAGCTCATTTAAGTTCATCTAAATTAAACACATTTGTTATTATATATATAAAATCAAACAACATACACACAAATACACTCTCCTTCAAAGAATGATGACACTAATTAATCTCCAAGCTGATAATTTCACTGGTTTTTTTGTTTGTATTTAGATTTATTTATTTACTTGTTTGTTTGTTATCTGCATGTATCACTGCAGGTTAGAAGAGGGCACCAGGCCGGGCGTTGGTGGCGCACGCCTTTAATCCCAGCACTCGGGAGGCAGAGGCAGGCGGATCTCTGTGAGTTCGAGGCCAGCCTGGTCTACAAAGTGAGTTCCAGGACAGCCTCCAAAGCCACAGAGAAACCCTGTCTCAAAAAACCAAAAAAAAAAAAAGAAGAGGGCACCAGATCTCATTACATGTGGTTCCTGGGAATTGAACTTAGGACCTCTAGAAGACCAGCTAGTATTCTTAACCACTGAACTCCAGCCTCTTCTTGGTTTCTTTCTTTCTTTCTTTCTTTTTTTGAGACAAGGGGTCTCTGTGAAACAGCTCCAGCTGTCCTGGAACTTGCTTTGTAGACCAGGCTGGTCTTGAACTCAAAGATCCACCTGCCTCTGCCTCCTGAGTGCTGGAATTACAGGTGTGTGCCACCACCACCCAGCTCGTTTTGTTTTCAATAAAGATTTACTTATTTTACCAGCACATATGTCTGTACACCACACATGCATGCCTGATGCCCCAGGAGTTCAGAAGAGGGTGTTGGATACCCTGGAATTATAGTCACAGATGGTTGTAAGCTGCCATCTATGGCAGGTGCTGAGAATCAAACCTGGGTTCTCTGCAAGTATAGACAGTACTCTTTTTTTTTTTTTTGGTTTTTCAAGACAGGGTTTCTTTGTATTGTTTTGGAGGCTGACCTGGAACTCACTCCCTAGACCAGGCTGGCCTTGAACTCACAGAGATCCACCTGCCTCTGCCTCCCCAGTGCTGGGATTAAAGGCATGTGCCACCAAAGCCGGGCTAGAAAGTACCCTTAACCACTAAGCCATCTTGCCAGCCTTTGACAGTCTCATGTAATTAAAGAGCCAAGGATATATCTGAAACAAAAATTACTACACAGAAATAAGTCATAATTGTTTATCATCTCTAAAATTTACATTAACCCAAAAATTACCCTAAAATTTCAATAAATCTTCTGGGACCTCATGTGAAACTAGAATTAGTCTGTAAGTCAGGTACAAGTGACTCTGAATTCCCCTCTTCAAATGTTTCCATCTCTCTCTGCTTTGTTCATAGACAGGGTTTCAAATATGTAGCTCAGGCTGGCCTTGAAACTGCAGTGATCCTTTTGCTTCCCCCTCCTAAAGTGCAAGGGTTGACCCTCGGCTGGTTATTTTTTAATTTCTTAATTACATATCTTTCTAAATTTCTACTCAAACTGAGAAAAGGATATAACAAAAGGGATTAAGATCACAGAGCTTAAGAGTACATTATTAATGGTAAGATTCATTAAAAAATTCTAGGTATATTTCATTTTGGTGAAATATGTTCTCAGATGTATTTTTCAAAAGTAGGGGAGTTAATTCTCAGTGGCTCTGTACCCTCAATATTTCAGACACCCTAGCTCTCACTGGAAACAGTACTCATGTTGGGGTACCCCGAATTGAGGAGGGGTCCCCAAGCTGGATTTGTCACCCCAAGAATCAAGAGTCCACGCGCCAATTGATGCAACACGCAAGAGGCTTTAATTAGGCATCTGCAGATGGGCCTCTCGGTCAGCTTTTAGACCGATTGGCCCCAAGGTTCAGTTACAATCAGCTTTTAAAGACAAAAACCACAAGCTTTTGGGAGGGGTCCCTATCTCGTGACTGGGGAAGGGGGTACGTAACTCCTGACCCAGGGAAGTAGATGTCTTCCTGACCTACAATGTTGTAAATTCTTCAAACCTTGGCATGGTTAATTATCTCTCCCTAAGTAAATAGTGTTATCTCCTTGTTTCCCACTAGTCTTTTTTGCCCATCTCTGACGCCCTGGTCAGTTCTTCACAGATGGTCGGCAGCCCGTAATTGGCCTTTTGTGGATTTACAGCCCTTCTGCAATTAAGGTTGCTAAACCATACATTCCATTCTGTGGTATGGCCGGTTCCTGGGATGGGGTCCTTTGTTCACTTCCCAAGTTCTCTAGTGGGGTGCCCTCCCTGTTTAAGCTTATATTTTATTTCTATAAATTCGGGGTCTTTCACTCACTAAGACGCATCCCCAGAGAGCCCAAGTCAATTTGATTTAGAGTAGGTTTGAGTACTTGTACTTTATTTTCAACATACTTTAAATTGTTTTAATGATTTCTTCATGTATAGGTGTTTTGCCCACGTGTGTGACTGTGCACAACATGTGCTGGGGATCAAATCCAGTTCCTGAAAGAGCAGCCAGTGCTGTTAATGCTGAAACATGACACCAGCCCCTGAGAGTCTGTATTTTAAAAGAAGCCTAGGGGGGCTCAAGGCATATAGCTTACTGCTATAGCTTGTGCTAAGGCTTTGGCTTCAATTTGCCAGGCTCTTTAAGCCATAGGTTTAGAACCCTTAGGGTTTAGTGTATGTTTTACCATATTGCTTCTCATTGCTCTTCATAAATAGTAGTTTAACGGTAAGATAAGGAAGTCCCAGTTCAATATATTATTTAAGAATTAGGCTAGGCTCAGTAGTCAATGTACTTGCCACCATGTCTGGATTCCTGAATTTGATCCCCAGAACCCACATAGAGGAAGGAGAGGACCAACTCTTGCAAGCTATCCTTTGACTGCCACTCATGTAGTACCTACACAATATTATTAAAAATATTATTAAAAAGGATCAGGCTGAGGGAATAGCTTACTTGTTTAGCATACCCAAGGTCTGGGGATTTGATCTGTACCACTGATAAGTATGTCTCCAACTACAGCAAATAGGTAACAATACACAAAAATATTTCAGTCATAAAAGTTTGTTGGGTTAGGAGCAGTGGCTCTTGCCTTTAATCCCAGCACTCAGGAGGCAAAAGCTGGAGGATTTCTGTAAGATCTGCATGGGGAGTTCCTTGACTACACAGGATTACAGAGTGCTCCTGTCTCAACAAACAAACAACAACACTCAACAAAAAATAAGAAGAGTTGCTATTAATTTCCCCCCTTGGGGCTAGTGAGATGGCTCAGAAGGTAAAACCACTCTCTGTTCTTCTAGAGGACCCAGGTCTCTTCCTAGCACCCATGTCAGCACCAACTGTTTATAACCCTGCTCTAGAGGACCTGATGCTCCCTTCTGGACTCTGGCGACAACCCAAACAGATGTGGCATATACTCAAAACAAAAAAAACCCTCCCCCTTAAGTAGACCAGATACCCTAGGAAACTTGCGGTTGTGGTGCCTGCCTCCCTGCGGGGAGCAGAGTGATGGCGGCCGGCACTTACGATGCTGACGCTGAGCCTCCTTGCCAGCTCTTCATCGCCTTTCAGCTGCTCCTCCATCTCACTTCTCCTCTTCTGCGTCCGTCTCTTTTCCTCCGCCTCCTCCTCTGCCAGCAATCTCTGTATGTATTCCTCACTGGCTTTATTTTCTTCTTCCTTGCTGGCTTGTCGTTCAGCCTCCACCTTAAAAATCATAAAGGACATCCTTTGCTGAAATTTCTACATACTCATATTTCACAGTAACTGTAAAAGAAAATGAAGTGAAAACTGTCAAGAATTTCTCTCCAATGAAATTCAAGTCTCCATAGCAAACTGCTATACAGCGAGCAGTTCAAAGTCCTACACCTCAGGGGGACCTCTGGCCCCCAGTCCTTACCGTTTCCGCCACAGCAGCACAGACAAGCAATGTTTCCTCAGTTCACGGACAGTCGCGTGCTGACTAAGGTAGACCTAGCTGTCTCTGCTTGTTCTAGCAGATTTACTAAGGAAAAGAGAAAGAACTCTCAAAAGTAGAATGGGAGCCAAGGGAGGAATTACCCTAGACTCAGCTGCTGCTGCTTTTTTTGTTTTTTTAAAGATGGGTCTCATCTCTGTGCATGCAGCCCTAGCTCATCTCTGTGCATGCAGCCCTAGCTCTCCTGGAACTCACAGAGACCCGCTTGCCTCTGCCTCCTGAGTGCTAGACTAAAGACATTCACCACTATACCTGGCATTTGTTTGTTATTTGTAAATATTATTTGTGTGTGAAAACAGGAGGATCACTGGGGCTTGTTGGCTTCCAGACTAGCTGATTAGGAAAAAAAAGCAAGTCCCGAGTTCAGGAGACATTTGCCTGAAAGGAGTAGGTGGAGAATGACAGAGGACACCCAACACCCTCTGTGCATACACACTAACTTTGTAACTGACAAACATATGCTGACTTTAGGTGGCTGGGGAGATGGCTCAGTGTGGTTAGCACATGCTATGCAAGCATAAGGAAAGGTGGATGATGTGTTAGCATCAGTCTAAATCCCAGGTGTTCATTGGCTGGTCAGTCCAGCTGAATTGATAAGCTCCAGGATCCAGGAGAGACTGAGATTCAAAAAAAAGTTGAGATTGATCAGGAAAGATACCAGATGTCAATTTCTGGACTCCACATGCATGGGCACACATGTACAGACATAATAAAAAAGACCCAAACATTTGACTTTAGCTGGGTGTGGTAATACACACCTGTAATCTTAGAACTCTAGAGGCTGAGGCAAGTGGAATACTTCCAAGTTCAAGGTCAGCCTGGGTTAGATCATAAGCCCCTATCTCCAACCCTCACTTCTCCTAATCAAACAAGTAGTCTTTCTGGAAGTCATATTGGGTGAGTAAAATGTTCCAGTTCTATTAACATTTAGGAAGCAGCTGCTGTAGCTAAGCTTCCAAAATGAATGCTTATCACAACAGATTCTCGGTTCCTTGTGTAGAGTCAGTAAAGCTCATCTCTCTTCTTCTAGATTTACTCCTGAGCTCTGTCTTTGGCAGCCTAAGATCACTGTGAATCCTTTTATTCACTCATGTCTTAGATGATACCACCATGAATAACAAACTTGTCATCCGCATAGAACTGTGTGTGCTTCCTATAAGTCAACAGCTCTTATTTTTTAGATCAGCCTTATTTCATTATAAAGCTAATACCATGTTGGGGCTTGTTTGCTTCTGAAGTCTTATTCCCCCACCACAGGGGTGGGGAGAGGGGAAACGACACGACACCCCCTTTTGTGATGTCACACACAGCTGCTGTATTCCTCCAGTAGTATGCTGGTGCTGAGTTAAATACACAGCCCAGCCAGGCGTTAGTGGCGCACGCCTTTAATCCCAGCACTCAGGAGGAAGAGGCAGGTGGATCTCTGTGAGTTCCAGGCTAGCCTAATCTACAGAGTGAGTTCCAGGACAGACTCCAAAACAATACAGAAACTCTGTCTTGAAAAACCAAAACCAGGTATGACATCACTATTCAAATGACCCTACCACTATGAGATGGAGGTAGGAGGATCAGAAGTAGTTCAAGGTCATCCTGGGCCACAAAAGACTTTCAGGCCAGATTGAGTTTCATGATACTAATTAATGAGGAATAAGAGGGACTATAAAAGTACATTAAAATCACTAGCATTTCAGTACATGATAGTTATATAAACATGACTTATATATAAATGAGATTTCTGAGATTGAGCGCATAGCAAAGACATTTTCAACAACATAAAAAAATCAAAAACTCACACCTACCTTACTTATCTCCTCTTCATATTCTCGTCTCAACTCCCCAGGTTTACTTAACAGACGAACTGGCTGGTAGTCATCAACTGTTTCACACAGGGAAGAAAATAGTATTAGGGCAACAGAACTTCATGGCTAACTTTGGCTTCCCATTAAAACTTAATGAGCACACACAAAGACAGACAGACACACTCTTTCTAGACTCCATAAAAATACCTATAAAAAGCCAGTTGGCGGTAGTGCACACCTTTAATTCCAGCACTCCAGAGGCAGGGGTAGGCAGATCTACAAAGTGAGTTCTAGGACAGCCATAGGCGTTACACAAGAAGCCCTGTCTCAAAAAACCAAACCAAAACACCTGTAAAAGGCAGAGCTAGGGATGTGGTTCAACAGCAGAGCCCATATCTAGCATGTATCAGGCCCTGTCATAAAAAGCCACCAACAGCGTACAAAACAAAACAAAAAAGTAACCCCTCATAGTATACTAAGAGATTAAGGAAGAGGAAAAAGTAATTTTTAAAAACCAGGCAAGGACAAGCTTCCAACTTGTGATCCTCCTGCCTCAGACTCCTGTGTTGTAATTAGAAGCATGTGCCATGAACTACCAAGCCCAACTGAGTCTTCTCTAATGTTTTGTATTTTTTCTGAGAGGAAGCATTAGATACCGTGTTGAGCTGTGTTCCAATTCTAAACCCAGGATAGGATCTTATTTGGAAATTGGATAATTTTAGAGGTAAAGTTCAAGTATGGTTATTGGGTGAATCTTAATTATGACTAGTAGTCTTGTAAATAGGAGACAAATTTGAACAAAGACTACCATGCACAGCTGGGAGATGTATCAAGGCAGGCAGAGAGGGGGTCTGGAGAGATGGCTCAGTGGTTAAGAGCATTTGCTGCTCTTGTAGAGGACCAGGATTTGATTCTCAGCACCCACACAGTATCTCACAACCACCTGTAACTCCAGCTTCAAGAGAGCCAGCATCCTCTTCTGGTCTCTGCAGGCACCAGACACACACATGGTAAAGATATACATGCAAGCAAAATATCAATACACATAAAAGCAAGGAAGAGTTCTGTTTCTGACTGCAAAAGTCAAGGTTACAGCTTGACTTCTAGCCTCTAAAAATTAGGAAATTTTTCATTTTTTTAAGTCATCTAGTTTGTGGTACTTTGTCATTCTGTCTTTAGGAAAGTAATATATAAATTTTTTTCTTTTCTTTTTGGTTTTTTGAAACAGGGTTTCACTGTGTAGCACTTGCTGCTCTAGAACTCTCTCTGTAGACCAGGCTAGCCTAGAACTCAGAGATCTGCCTGGGATTAAAAGCATGTGTCTCTATCCCCCACCCTCCCTGTTTTCTTTCCTTGTAAAGAAACATTTTTTATCCATGTGTGTGTATGCCTGTGAGTTTTATGTTCAGCACAGGCATGCAGGCACCAATGGAGACCAGAAAAGGGCAGGACCTTAGATCCTCAGCAACTGGAGTTATAAGGAGTTGTAGGTCCTGGTGAGGTTGCTGGGAACTGAACCCCGTCCGATAGAAGAAGTGTTGTTAGTTGATGAGCCATTCCTTAGCCCCTTGTTTTGCTTTTTTCAGACTCTTGCAACATAGCCTAGGCTGGTCTCAAACTTGCAGCAGACCTCGTGCCCCAGCCTTCCAAGTGTTGGGATTACAAATGTTTGCCATCTGTATCCAGCTTTTATTAATATTACATTTTATTTATTCTGGGGTGGAGGGCCATACACCATGGAGTGAGTGGAGGCCAGAGGACAACTTTCAGAAGGTGGCCCTCTTCTCTACCATGTAGGATTTCCTGGGATCACATTCAGTTGTCAGACCTAGCATCAAGCACCTTACTAGTCCCAATGTGTTCAGATTTTCATTCTTTCAAAGACACTGTCTCACTATGTAGATCAGGTCATGCTGGAACTTACTAAATTCACAAAAACCTGCCTGCCTCTGCTTCTTTCAAGCTATGTCTAGAGATGTGTGCTACATGCCTGGCTCTACCTTATGACTCTTTAAACTACTTTCTTAACAGTTAACCCTTACTACTGAACTTTAAAATCTTCATCAAATTTCTAAAGATTAGACCTAGGATAGTCAGTGGCAGAGTGCCTTAGGCTCAAACACACACACACACACACACACACACACACACACACACTCTCTCTCTCTCTCTCTCTCTCTCTCTCCTCTCCCCTCTGTCTGAGTCACAAGCTTTTAAAAGATCAAGAGTCAGCTGGGTGGTGGTGGTGCACACCTTTAATTCCGGCATTCCAGCATTCAGGAGGCAGAGGCAGGCTGTAACTGGAGTTTTCTTGTTCTGCCAAGTCCCACAGTTACTTCATCCCCAAATAAACACAGACACTATAGAAAATTGTTGGTAAAGCCTCCCCATTTCTATTAATCTAAAAGTATTTCCACATGGTCTTATCTTACCGGAGAAGGGTCGGGAACACTCCTTCGGAGGCTAGCTGGCATCTCTTCGATGTCTCTCTCTTTCTACCTCTCCCAGAATTTTCCTCTTCTCCTAGTCCCGCCTATCTTTCTGCCTCTGTTGGCCAAACTGTTTTATTCATCAACCAATAAGAGAAACACATATACAGAAGAACATCCCCCATCATCAGGCAGATCTCTGTGAGTTTGAGGACAGCCTGTTCTACAGAGTGAGTTCCAGGACAGCCAGGGCTATATGAGCCAGGAAGATAACTTTGTGATAAAGATACTTGCCACCAAGTGTGACTACCTGAGTTCAATCCCTAGGACCTACATGGTGGAAGGAGAGAACTGACAACCAAAAGTTGTCCTCTACTCTCTTGGTTATCCACACTACATTAACACATGGGTCTAACACACAGACTTCTTAGAAAAAAAGATTGCTACAGGAGAGAAGAGCCACCTTTAGAATATCCAAATTTCACCAGGTGTTGGTGGTGCATGCCTTTAATCCCATCACTCGGGAGGCAGAGGCAGGCAAATCTCTGTGAGTTCGAGACCAACCTGGTCTACAAGAGCTAGTTCCTGGACAGTCTCCAAAGCCAAAGAGAATCCCTGTCTCGAAACCGCCCCCCAAAAAAAAAATATTCAAATTTCCTATTTTGCAACTGTCATTTTGTAGAAACCAATGCAGGCAAGAGTAATAGTTGTTAAATTTGCTTGAAAATTTGTTGGAGAATCACAGTCTTAAAGTATCATTTCATAGTTACATTAATTCCAAGGGATACAGTTGAGAAGTCTGTCACTATTACTAGGGAATCAGAACATTATACATGAGACAAAATAGCATCATGTTCTTACTGATAAATTGTGTGAAAGGCATAACCTGAATGTGAGAAAACCAAACCAAAGGGGGAAAAAACATGTCTCTAATTCTTTGCTGTGGAACCTGTCAATTTTGTTCCTATTAGCCACTACTGTTATGACAAAATGTCTCATAAACAGCCTGAGAGAGGAAAGATTTACCTTGGATTAAACAGAGCTTTGCATCCATGGTTTTATGCCTGTGCAAGGTAGAAACATGATGGTGAAAAGGCTTGGTACGGGAGAGCTGCTTACCTCAACAGCAGCCAAGAAGCAAAGAAACACAGAAGGAACCAGGAACAGTATATATACCTTTCCAAGCCATTCCACAGTAAACAGTGCATTTCCTCCAGACAGGCCTCACCTCCTAACAGCCCATTTGGTATAAGTTTATCAGTGGACTGACCCATTGATGAAGTTAGTACTCTCCTGATGCAATCATCTCAGTAAGGATGGCTGGGAACAAAGTCTTCATCCCACATAAAAACTTTAGCAATTCCTTTTAATGAGTGAACAGTATATTTTGTTGTAGATATATACACATTTAGCTTATCCATTCATTGATGACACTTGGGCACATCAAATTTTTTTATTTTATATGTTTTAAATTAAGAGGAAGAACCTTTCTTCTCATATTTGAATCATCTGAAAACTATACATTAAAAAAAACTTTCATTTAGATAACAAAAAGATAAATTCAGCACTTGGAAGGCAGGGCAGTCAGTGCTCTTAACTGCTGAGTCATCTCTCCAGGACCAACTTTTAAGCTTTTTGAGATAGGATCTCACTAGTCCTGCCTAGACTGGGACTTCTTTTTAAAGACTGAGGTTCTTGATGCAGATTCCCTGATGAGTTTCTTTTTCAAATGGGCTATTTATTTTTCTGATGAGTTATTTTGCAACAAGGTCTCACAACATAGGCCTGCCTGGCCTAGAATTTGCAGTGACCTTCTTGCTTTTTTTTTTTTTTTTTTTTTGGTTTTTCGAGACAGGGTTTCTCTGTATTGTTTTGGAGGCTATCCTGGAACTAGCTCTGTAGACCAGGCTGGTCTCCAACTCACAGAGATCCGCCTGCCTCTGCCTCCCAAGTGCTGGGATTAAAGGCGTGGGCCACCAACGCCCGGCTTGACCTTCTTGCTTATAGGTAGGTATTATTTTTCTTACTATCTACGATTTACAAATATTTTCTATTTTGTGGGCTGCCTTTTGCTCTCTTGATACCTTGGCTATTTTTATTTATCAAGTGAACTTTAAAATAAACAAACAAATAAATAAATAAATTTTGGGCTGTAAAGATGGCTCAGTGGCTAAGAACACTAACTGGTCTTCCAGAGGTCCTGAGTTCAAATTTCAGTAACCACATGATGGCTCCCAACCATCTGTAATGTGATCTGGTGCCCTTCCAGCCTGCAGGGATACATGGCAGACAGAACACTGTATACATAATAAATAAATGAATCTTAAAAAATTGTAGTTTTGGGGAACTGATGCCACTTCTGGTCTCTAAGGGTTACTGCATGCACATGATGTGCTCTCTCTCTGGCTGGCTTTGAACTTTGGAGATCCACCTACATTTTGCCTCCCCAGTTCTGGGAATAAAGGTGTGTGCCCCCGCCACCACCACCTGGCCACAAGAATCTGTTTTCAGACAAAGTCTTTCCATTGTAGTTCTGGAGCTCAAATAAATAGAGCAGGCTGACCTTGAACTCAAGAGATCCTACTTCCTGCATCTGCCTCCCAAGGGCTGGAATTAAAGGCGTGCACCTTGCTTTAAGCAGTGCTTGAAAGGTGACTATTACCATATGCATCTCTACAAAGCTGGGGGTTGCTGTTTAAGATTTGTTGCTTAAACCAGGCATTGGCGGCGGGGGGGGGGGCACGCCTTTAATCCCATCACTCGGGAAGCAGAGGCAGGCGGATGTCTGTGAGTTCGAGACCAACCTGGTCTACAAGAGCTAGTTCCAGGACAGCCTCCAAAGCCACAGAGAAACCTTGCCTCGAAAAACAAAAACAAAAAACAAAACAAAACAAAAAAAAACTGCGTTTGCCTTTAACGGATATGGGAGCGGGGCTCATAAAACCACAAATCCCCAAGATCAACTTAGACTATTTAGTCCTCTTTTTCCTTTTTTTTTTTTTTCTTTCTCCGCGACAAGGTTTCTATGTGTAGCTCTGGCTGGACTGGAACTGGCGCTATAGACCAGGCTGACCTCGAACTATACACCTGTCTCTGTCTCCCAAGAATTAAATCATGCGCCACCAACCGCTCCCCCGGCCCCCCTTTTAATAGAAAATGATGGCTCCCTCTCTAGGCGACTTTGGGCTTTTCTCTTTTTAACCCAATAACCATGTTGAATTTTACTCACTGATTTCCTTTGATTCCTGCCCAGAGGCTCTAAGCTTGCACTCGTTTGCATAGTGTTTTTGAATAATCTCCCACAGGTCTCTATTGACAAGAGAATTTCTTCGGGTATGGTACCGAGTCCACGAAGAGACCCGTCGGCGACAGAAGGGACAGCACAGGTTGGCCTTTTCAACAGTGGATTGGAAGCAGGGGTTACAGAGCGTGTGGTTGCAAGGAAGGGTTACCGGCTCTAGTAGGATTTCCATACAGATGCCGCACTGACATTCTCCTAAGGAAGGGATGGTTTCTTTGGATTCAGCCATCTTCAGACGCTAACGAGGCCTATGTCAACAGCTAGAAGAAACCAGTCTTCCGGCTAAACACAGTACGGAGAAAGTCAACGAGCGGTTTAGTTTTTATTCGGACATGCAAGCAGCGTACTGGAATCCAGACAGGCTGAACTTCCCCAGGCCCGAGGCAGACAGGCGCCGAGATGTCAGGCGAACAGTTATGCCCTGCGTCCAGCAAGGGAATGAATGAACGTTCCTTCGAGAGCGCGGCGGTCTCGGGCCGGTGAGTGGTTCCGGCTCCCCGCGCTGCAGACAGTCGGCTCCAGCTCCCCTTCTCACCGGGTGAGGACCCGCCTCTTCGCGCCAGGCCTCCGGGCCTGCCAGGCCCAGAAGCCCGGGGACTGCCGCTCCGAGAGCACCGCGTACCGCCAGGAAGCCGGGCTCGGGCGGCCGCTAGACTTCCGTCTCGCCGTTGCGGCGGAGGCAGCCCTCCAGTTCCCACACTCCCGCTTCTGGTAGCCTCGCGGTTCCCCAGGGTCCCGAGACCCAGACGATCAGATTCGCTGTCCCGCCGACCAGTTCATTGGCAGCCGCAGGAGCAGGTACACATGATCTACACACGTCACAATTCCCCGCCAAAACGGCACTTCTTACCCAAGGAACCACTCAATTGGGCGGGACTTCCGGGAGCTGCGCGCGCAGTTGAGCCCTATCTGCTGGTCACAGTTCCACCGGTGTTAGGTGGTTCATCTGTTGTAGGCTGTAAAAACTTGGTTAGTCACTGTCTCAAAAGTGAACTCTCTAAACAATAATTTTGATAATTATTCTCTCAGTACTCTTAGAAGTATTTTTTGTTTCTCCTAACTAAAGTTTCCAAAGTTAGTAGTGCCAAAAGAAAAAAATGTAACAAATTCAGCTAAAAAATATTTTGTTTATAGTGTGCCTTAGGACGAGCAGATAGATGTTGGCTTTATAGACAAGTGGTGTTCAAGGAAAGCAACAACACAAAGCTGGAATGGTGGCTTCAAGGTATTCCTGGAAAGGTTGAAGCGAGGGAGTATGGCTATGGTAATAGCTGAAGCTCAGCAAATTGGAAATTTGACTGTTATTGCTTTCTCCCTCCCCTGATTTTTGGGTGCTTAGTTTGGGACCTACACCCAGAAACTTCAGTATGAGTTTGCTATCGATCTGAAGAGCTCAGCAAAGAAACACATGCCTGTAATTCCAACCATTGGAAAGTAGTCAAAAAAGGATTATTATAAACTAGTCTTTGCTACAAAACTGGTTCCAGGCCAGATTGGGCTATATGAGACCCTGCCTCAATTGGTAAGTCAGTCAGTCAATAACTGGATCCTCACCAAGAGCCTATGTTTTATTTAATATTAGAAAAGTATCCATGGTCAGGCACAGTGGTGCACACCTTTAATCCCAACACTTCAGAGGCAGAAGCAGGAGGATCTCTATGAGTTAGAGGCCAACCTGGTCTACACAGTGGGTTCTAGTACTACTCAAAGAGACCCTTTAAAAAAAAAGAAAGGAAAGAAAGAAAAGTATTTTGAGATAGGTGTGATCACATGTGTTTTGTAATCCCAGCATGTAGGTGATAAAGGTAGAGACAGAAGTTGGAGTTCATCTCTGCAACATAGAGTTTTCCAGGTCTAACAGACTCTGACTTAACTCCCCTGTAAATCTTTAAGAAGGCTGATTCCAATGGAAAGTTGAAAGTTTCAATGGAAAGTTGAAAGTTTGGGTCAGATAATCCTCAGACTTGTGACAACTTGACATTTACACTTCCTTCTATGGCACAACCCCAATGTCTGCAGTCTTCCTTTCCAAAGACTTAAGGCCCACAGCTTGGCAGAAAGTATCAAGACTATCTGTTGTTGAGAAAATCTTTTAGTACACTGGGTGAAGATATGTCTCTGTTCTTCCTCATCTGCCTAAGGCACCTTCTGATTGGTTTAACGAAGAGCTGAACAGCCAATAGCTAGGCAGGAGAGGATAGGTGGTATTTCCGGGGAGAGACAGGAACACTGGGAAAGATTCTGAGGTGTGGGAGTTTCCCTGGCAAGAATCAGAGGAAGTAGGATGTGTGGTACTGAGGAGAGTTAAGAAGCCACATGCCAAAACATAGATTAATATAAATGGGTTAATTTAAATTTTAAGAGCTAGTTGAGACAAGCCTAAGCTAAGGCAAAGCTTTCATAATTAACAAAAAGTCTCCATGTCATTATGTGGCAGCTGGCAGTACAACAAAAGACCCATGAGTCTGTCCTGCAGCTGTGGTTGTAGGTAGCTGCCATAGGTGATGGGAATGGAACTCTGGTCCTCTGGAAGAACAGTACATACTCTCCACCACTGAATCATCTCTCCACCCCTATATGTTATGGTTTTGATTGGTTAGTTGCCTTTTAATAGGCATTCAAAATTCAAAATGTTCAAAGTGAACAAATAGTCTGATTACTCCTAAAGAAATATAAAGAAATATCTATTTTCTCCCAGAAACCAAAGACAACCCAAAGAAGATATTCCATCCAAGTTGAGCTTGGTGAACCAATGAGTTCGTTAGTCTTACAGAAACATGAGTGCAGGATTACTTACAATAGCATGGATGATTCAAAGGCAACCCATACCACCTAAAGTTCCCACCTCAGCATGAGGATGACCCACAAAAGCTTCAACACTAGGTTCCCAACCTTCTGTATACTCTAGCATCCCCTAGACCAAGGAGAACAAGATTATGTACAGCTTTGTAGCTGGGGCTGGAATCTCAGGGAAAAGTAACATTTCCCTTTCCTCTCAATGAGGAAAGAACAATAGGCCTGATCTCATGACCATGTCCTGTGGCTGATCACATTCTCTAATTCAAGACAGTGATGTCATATCATGCCTAGAGGACAAGTTCCACTATCCAGTGAATAGAATTTCTTCTCCTTTGGCTCTTAGTCTCTGAGCCCCACCTAAAACAATATTAAGTATCACTGGAGAAGTGTAGATATCTAAACTAATGCATAATATCTTTTTAAAAATTATAGTTGTATATATATAGTTGATTTCCCCCCTTTTATACTTAACATTAGATTAAATATTTCAACAAAACACCATCAAATCTGAGTGATTATTCCATATAAATTTATTTTATTATTTATGCTTGTGGTATTATGGATTGAACCAGGTCCTCATGCATACAAAGCAAGTACTCTGGGCTATACCCCCAGATTCTATGTCATTATAAAATTTTGCCTATTTTTAAATATGACTACACACAAAATATTCATTGTATCAATTTGTCATAATTTCTTTATTGCTCCTCCCACTTTTGCTATAAAATAAACCTACACTAATTAAATTATTCATTTTTTTGTTTTTGCAATACAAATAACTGAAAGGGGACTTGCTGAGTCATAGGGTTACAGGTGTTGCTGGTTTTTTTCTTGCCTGGTCCAGCTGCTTCAGCCCAAAATGAACACACTATATTAATTATAAACCTTTTGGCCAATCGCTAGGGCTTCTTACTGGCTAGCTCTGTCTTGATTATTAACCCATTTCTATCAGTCTATGAATTGCCACGAGGCTGTGGCTTACCCGGCAATGCCCTGGCATGTAGTTACTCCTCCTGCAGCATCGCAACTCTACGTCCGGCTCCCTCTGCCTACCTTTCCCAGAATTCTCCTCGTCTCCTCGTTCTGCCTATCTTCCTGCCTCATTGGCCAAACAGTGGTTTATTCATCAACTAATAAGAGAAACATATACAGAAGGACATCTCCCATCAAACAGGTTAATCTTTGGTTGACGGCATCAACTCTTTTAGGGATGTTCTTTGGTTTTCAGGGGTCCTCACTGCTTTTCCCTTCTCAATGACCTGAACAGCCCGCAGCAAAGCATCCTGCAGAGCCTGGTTCTTTACCATATTGGTGATCATGAACGTAACATCTTTGATATATACCTGTCTTACATTAGCAGCATAGTGTTCTGCTTTGTTGCCGTGTGCAATGAAGAAGCTACAGAGTGCTGTGACATCTCTCTCTTGCAGCCCATACTCCTCCAGGATAGACTCCCACACAATTCTAACATGTTTGTTCTTGGCTTTTCGTCTAAGGACAGAGGCTAAGGTTGGAAGACTTTTCACCAGGTCTGGAAGCTTCTGAAGCACTCGAGTGTGCAAGCAAATAAGGACTTCAATGACATAGCTGTATAAAATATTCAATTCCATTGAGGTAAACCTATAAAAAACGTGGAAAGCTCCTTAAGTGGAATATTTTGTGTGCAAACGTAACTTACATTTGATTAGGTTGACTCAGTGTAAACCTGTGATGAAACCAGCTGTAAATTTTTTAAAGTATGGCCTGTACCAAACTTATGGCTGAGTTCTGAGGCCACCCATTGGATGAGCTTCCCATGGTGAGGGAATGCTGTTACTGGCATAAAAACAGGTGTTCGGGTCAACCTTTTCTGAATGAAGGACCCCCAAGCAAAAATAATACCTTTGGAACATACTGAATTCAGTTTGGAAATGGCCACTGAAATCTCTCACCCGAGGGCCAGGACTGCTGTCCATATTTCATCTTGGGCTGCTTGGCTTGCCAAAGTCTTGCTGTGCTGTTCAAATTGCTGTATCAGATTATCCTTGGTGACGTCTAGTTCTTTGAACTGTATGTCTAGAACTTGGAGCTTGTTGTCTACTCTACAGGATTAAAGAATCAAAGGTAAGATCAGGCCAAGGTAAACTCAAGACTCTTATAGATTATTTACAACCCCTACCAAATGTAGGTAGGTGCTTAGTTAAAGTATGAAGAGGGCCCCATTTGCCATGTCTTCTGCTTGACCCTGCTCTTCATATTGACAGACTTCTGAATCATCTAATTACTAGTTCCTTAGTGCAAAACTCTATACTTCATAGAATATACTTCTCATGGCTATAAGAAGTGAAGCTATGAATTGTTACTTTTTAAGGGAGGAGTTGGGGAGCAAATGTGGAAGCCAAAGGGCAACTTGTAGGAGTTACTTTTGCCCTCCACTATGTGGGGCTTGGGGTTTGAACTCAGGTGATAAGGCAGCATGTGCCTTTACCCAGTTCAACCATGTCACCAGCCCCATCTGTACTGTTTAGTGAGGGAAAGTGTATTTGTTAGAGCTGTACAAGCCCTGATTCTGAAAAAGATCAAGTCACATAAATGAGTAGTTCTAGAACCAGTGAACATAACAAAGTGACTTTCTTTACCATACTATGATGTTACAGATCCATTTTTACTTCAAGGATCAGCTCAAAATCCATTGTGTGTTACAAAACCCTGTCTCATAAAACAAAACAAAACAAAAATCTAAGGATAATTCTCAACCCCTCCCCCACTGATATCTATTAAGCCATCTCCTACTTGTCACGCCCAGTAAACCAGTCCACCACCTTTCACCTGGTCTTAGGACTACAGTAGTCTTACTGGGTCCTTGATCCAGTCTTCATCTTTCACACACTTCTCTAGAATACTGTTGTGATTATTTCTTAGATTTATTTATTTCATGTACACGAGTGCTCTATCTGAATGTACATCTTTATGATAGAAAAGGGTATCAGATCCTATGATAGATGGTTGTGAGCCACCACGTCATTGCTGGGAACTGAACTCAGGACCTCATGAAGAATAGCCAGCGTTTTTAACCACTGCATCTCTCCAGTCCTATTGTGATTATTTAACTTAGCTAAAAATGTACCTTTTATGTCACCTGACTTTAGAGACAAATTGGATCTCCTCAGTAAGCATAATGCCTTTGTGACTCTTCTTACACATTCTAGATGCTAAACTGTAATTCCAGTCTTTTATTCAGCCAAAATGTAGTTTCATCACTATAAAATTCCTCCCCATATTTATTTCCTCATAAACTCACTCAGATGCTATGATACACCTAAGTATCCCTCTGTGAAGAGCCATTTTCTTAGGCAAAATGGTTAATCCCTCCTTCATATTCCTTTAGTCTTTTGGGGACGTCATCAGTATAAGGTCACTTGTATTAAACTGTACTTCTAAAAAAATCATTCTACTATTCCTATAGACTATGAGTTTCTTGAGGGAAACAGTCACATTTTACTTTTTTCTGCAAATCTAGCATAAATTGAATGGAGTAATAGCATAGTAAAGCAGATTTTTTTCTCGATTGTGTGTGTGTGTGTGTGTGTGTGTGTGTGTGTGTGTGTGTGTGTGTACACGCATGCAGGTGCGGATGCAGGGGATTTAAAAACCAGGGCCTTTCAACCATACAAACATTCTATTACTGAGCTAAATCACAACCCCCACCTCAGATTTTTCTTTACTATCAGTTTACGTATTTTTTAATCTGCAAGATTCAAACCACTTTAGCAAACACAATTCTAAGTAGCATGTCTCCTATTCTTTGTTTATTTCTATTCTTCATTTTTCACTCCCCTTCTTCTGAGAACAGAGAACCCTGGCTTATTCCCTCCCTGTAACCCTGAGCTACCTTGTCATTGCTTCCTTCAAGGATATCAGGGTTGTGGTTTCATGGTTCATCTTCTTTAGGAAAAGGAAAAGAAATAAAACAAAGCAAGATGAAAACAAGATAGAGGTTGCAATCCGGATCTTCTGCTCTGTTTTCATTCAACAACAGGCAGCAGCAGTGGGAACATCCAATCTAAACTCTTCCTGCAAGGTCACTAAGTACATGAAGCTTTTAATAGCTTGAACATCCAAATATAGTTTCAAAGAACCAATGATGTGAACACAGGTGTCCTGGGGTGCACTATGACATTTGCCTTTGAAAACAGATCAGGCCATTACAGAACAGCAAGCAGTCATACACAAATACAACTCTTTGCCCTGGAAAACTTACATAGGGACATACAAACAAGTGTTACTCTACAATTAAGTTTGATGGCGATGCTTGCTGTGGAATAATACTGTACACTGTGAAAATGTGTTGCTGTCATTGTTAGTAAAAAGTTGATTGACTGGTAACCAGAAAAAAGGTATAGGCTGGACAACCAAACTAAGGATGCTGGGATGAAGAAGGGTGGAGTAAGAGAGACACGAGCAGATGCAGAGGGAACAAGACATGCTGAAGGACAGGAAAAGCCATGAGTCACATGACAATACATAGATTAATAGAAATGGGTTAATTTAAGTGGTAAGAGTTAACTAGTAATAAGCCTGAGCTATCCGCTGAGCATTTATAATTAATATTAAGCTTCTGTATGTTTATTTAGGAATGGCTGGTGGGACAAAGACTTTTGCCTACAGATGCTACTTTAAAAAAATTATTCGCTGTACATGAGTGTTTTGTGTGCACATAAGTCTGTCCATTATGTGCCAGAGGAGGGTGACAGTTCCTGGTAGGGGGTGTCCTTCTGCATGATTCTCTTATTGGTTGATGAATAAAGCTGTGTTGGCCAATGGACAAGCAGGATTTAGCACATCGGGAAATCCAAACAGGGATAGAGAAAGGTAGTAGGCAGGGTCAAGGAGACACCATGTAGCTGCTGAGGAAGCGAGAGACCATGTACATCACGGCTAAGCCAAGACTACATGGAGATACATAGATTCATAGAAATGGGCTAATAATTGAGAGCTAGCCAACAAGAAGCCTGGGCCATTGGCCAAATAGTTTGTAATTAATATAAGCCTCTGTGTGTTTGTTTGGGATGCAGGACCAGGCAGTACAGAAACTTCTCTCTACAAGATCCTCTGGAACTAGAGTTACAGATAGTTGTGAGCTCTCATATGGGTGCTGGGGATCAAACCTAGGTCCTCTGGAAGAACATGTGATTTTTCTTTTCAGACAGGGTTTCTCTATGTAGTCCTGGCTGTCCTGGAATTCTTTCTGTAGACCAGGCTATCCTGGAAGTCAGAGATCTGCCTATTTCTGCCTCCCAAGTGCAGGGATTTAAGGATGTGTACCACTATGCCCAGCTAACAAGAGCTTAACTGTGAGCCATCTCTCCAGCCCCAGGTTTCATATTTTTAATAGCTTTTTAAAAATTAAATTATAATCTAAATCAGTTTTAAAAGAGTGCATTACATTCTTTATTATAATAATGATGGTTTTAAAGTTAAAAATCTAACCAATGGTAGAAATTACTGAGTATTATTGAGGACTTCTAGTAGTATAAAATGCAGAATTGATAGAAAAATACACACAAAATAGGATTTCTCTTTGGTGCAGTGGTTTGAGGCTATAGTACCCTTTTTAGGAGGCTAATAAAGAAAGATCTTCCCAGCCTAGAACCTTAAGGTCAAACTGGGCCACATCTCAGGACCCTTTCTCAAAACAAAAGTAAGATACCTGTTGTTACTATTAAAACATGCAGTAAACAGGTACAGATTCCAAAAATCATATGGGATAATAGTAGGTCACTGAAGTACTGGGTCAATAGAAAAATGCTCAAACTGATGATGGGTCATGTCCTTAAAGGAAAGTGTTACCCCTTGATTATCAGGGAGAAAAAGTATGAAGTATACTATAGACTGGAGACTTTGTATGAGCAAAATCACAGATGGCAAGGTAACTAATTAGTTCAGGGAACTATGGGTAGATGTCTGTCTCTCTGTTTTTTGAGACAGGTACTTGCTATCTAGCCTAGCCCAGCCTCTACCTCAGTCCTCTTTACCGTAGCCTCCTGAGTGTTAGGGCTATAGGTGTGCACCGAGTTCAGCTCATGAAGGTATGTTCTGATCAAAAGATTCATATGAGCTTAAGAAAACATTTAAGTGCTGGGTGTGGTGGCGCACGCCTTTAGTCATGGCACTGGGAGGCAGAGGCAGGTGGATCTCTGTGAGTTTGAGACCAGCCTGGTCTACAAGAGCTAGTTCCAGGACAGCCTCTAAAGCCACAGAGAAACTCTGTCTCAAAAAAACAAAAAAAAAAAGAAAAGAAAACATTTAAGCTTATAGGAACTAAGTTATATGTTTGTAACACTTGCTGAAGAATTTATTCTCATCAATACTTATTGACTATCATAAATGTTAATTAAATGGATAATACCTATGAATGATCAGAAGCAAAATTCCTCCTCCCCAGGGAATATGCTAGCAGAGAGGCATAGGGATAACAAAGCCAAAATGCTGCCAGACAGCAAAAGAAACAGAGTGAAGAGACAACCTACCAAACAGGAGAATATAATTATAAACCACACATTAAGCAAGGAGCACATATCTAAAATATATATGGATCTCCAAAACCTCAAAAGTAAAATACTACTAGTACTAACACAATTTTATTTTAAAACTTTGAAGTCTATTTATTTTATGTGTACATGTGTTTTGAATGCTTGTATGTTTGTATGCCAAATGCATTCAGTGTCCATGGAGGCCAGAAGAGAGTTTGAATCCCCGTTGAACTGGCGTTAACAGATGGTTCTTAGCAGCAACATGGCTGATGGGAATCAAACCAGGGTCCTCTCAAAGAGCAGCCAGTGCTCTTAACCACTAAGCCATCTCTCCAGCCCCCTAAAGATACAATTGTAAAAGGACAATAAACCTACCTGAGACTTTGAAACTGAAGGAAAGTATGGTGGCTATTCTTATCAACTTGACTACATCTGGAATTCACTGAAATCCAAAATTAAAGTTCGTACCTGTGAAGAATTTTTGCTTAATTTGAAGTAGGCTGATCTACTTCGAATCTGGACCTTTCAGATAGGAAATATGACTTTAATCCAGATTTTTGCTTTATCCTAGCGCCCAACTTCAGTATGCATTCCCTGGGAACTGGCCAGCCAAGCCTGCCAGAGAAACATATAGGCCAGCAAAGCAGGTTAGCTAGGAGCTTCATATCTTCACTCCTACTCTCCTCACATCCAGTGTCACAGTTCTATGAGATCTGTGGCAGACTAATGGTTGTAGCCTTTCTTCACTCTCTGTCCTCATTCCCAGGGGACTAAGCAGTTCCTGGTGGAACAGCCTGTTTTCCTCCCTGCTGTGGACTCCCTCAGCCTGCCCACCCTCCTAGTGCATTCCAATTCCTAAGGATCAGCTCCCAATACCTAGAAACACATTTTACATGGAACACTCCACTCCCTTACCTTACCTAGCAGGACCCCAGAAGAATTTCCTACCAGGTAACACACAGTCACCACACTCTCCTAAGAACCAGAGAGGGAAATAGAAACCAAGGAACAAAACACCCTTCCCACAAAGACAAGACTAGATATCAACTCCTAGAATAACAATCTTCCCAAATCCAGATATCTGGATGCCAGCATAAAAATAAAATCAACAACAGCCAGGACAATATATTTCCACTAAAGCCCAGCAACCCCACAGTAGGCTCTTGAGTATTGCAATATAGCTGAAGTATAAGACTGTTCTCGTGGAATCTCCACCTCAATTCCCCTCCCATCTCCCTCTCCTTAAACCTTGCCCCGTTCCTGAAAGCCTGCCATAGGTGGCTCTTCCCCTGAGATTCCCAGGACCAAGCCTACTGGGTATTTAAGACCTGGCTTAGATCTGCCACATGTACTGTCCTCTGCCTTCCTAAGGGACACCCAGGAATTCTCTGTCTGCCTGGCATTGCCCTGTTTATTAAATTTGGATTTATCCGGTTTGATTTGACTTACTTGCATGGGTGGAGGAACCCAGCAACTGGAGATCTAATACCTAACAAAGACAAAGACTTTAAAATAGCCTTTATGAATATGAGAGAGACCCTTAAAAGGGAAATAAATAAATCCCTTAAAGGAATCTATGGAAAAACCAGTGAAAGGCAGTGAAGTGAGTAAAGAGGCTCAAGACCTAAAAATGGAAACAGAATTAATAAAGAAAACCCAACAGGGGCTGGAGAAATGACTCAGTGGTTAAGAGCACTGACTGCTCTTTCCAGAGGACCCGAGTTCAATTCCTAGCACTCATATCTGGGCAGCTCACAACTGTCTATAACTCCAGTTCCAGAGGATATGACACTCACATAGACAGACATATATGCTATCAAAACACAAATGCACATAAAATAAATAATAAAAAAGAAAGAAAACCTAAACAAATAAACCTGGAAATGAAAAAGTTAGAACTTGAACAGGAACCTCACCAACAGAATACAAGAGATGCAAAAGAGAATTCAGACATTGAAGACAAAGAAATGGACACATGAGCCAAGCGTTGGCGGCATCTGTAATCTCAGCACTCCGGAGAGGCAGAGGCAGGCGGATTTCTGTGAGTTCTAGGCCAGCCTGGTCTACAAGAGCTAGTTTCAGGACAGCCTCCAAAGCCACAGAGAAACCCTGTCTTGAAAAACAGAAAACAAAAACCAAAAAAAGAAAAAGGAAAGACACATGGACCAAAGAAAATGTTAAACCTAAAAAACTTCTGGCACAAACATCCAGGAAATCTGGAACACTATTGTTCAGGTGGAAGCTCTCTCTACCTTAGGCCCCCCTCCCCTCACCAGACCATACCTATAGGGGTATTTAAACTGTCCTCTAGAAAACGGCCATCTCTCCTCCCCAGTTCCTCTGGGTGCTGAAAAATCATCCGGAAGTGATTTACTCATTAAACCTGGACTTTTCTTTCTTTTCTTTTTTTTTTTTTTTCTTTTTTCTTTTTTGGTTTTTCGAGACAGGGTTTCTCTGTATTGTTTTGGAGGCTGTCCTGGAACTAGCTCTTGTCGACCAGGCTGGTCTCCCAAGTGCTGGGATTAAAGGTGACTTTTAATTTTTTTTTTTTTTTTGGTTTTTACGAGACAGGGTTTCTCTGTATTGTTTTGGAGGCTGTCGGTCCAGCCCAGCCTCGAACTCACAGAGATCCGCCTGCCTCTGCCTCCCGAGTGCTGGGATTAAGACTTTTAATTCTTAATTTAGCTTGATTTGGATTACTGTGTGAGTGGAGAGGCTTAATATTTGGGTATAGAAACCTTTCGAGAAGACCAAATCTAATAATCTAAGAATAGAGGAAGGATGCAGTTGAAGAGGTTAAGAGGTCCTGAGTGTAATTTCCAGCAACCACATGGTGGCTCGCAACCATCTATAATGAGATCTGGTGTCCTCTTCTAGTGTGCAGGCATAACACTGTATACATAATAAATAAATAAATCTTGTGGGGAAAACAGAGAAAGGAGAAGAAACTCAGTGCAAAGGCACAGCAAAGAATTTCAGAAAATCACAGATTACCTTAACTAAAGAAGGGAATGCCTATCAAGGAACAAGAAACACACAGAAACTGGGCAGTGGTGGTGCACACTCTTAATCCCAGCACTCAGGAAGCAGAGCAAGCTGATCTCTGAGTTCGAGGCTAGCCTAGTCTACAAAGTTCCATGACAATCAAGGCTACACACACACACACACACACACACACACACACAAACCAAAACAAACAAAACAACAACAACAAAAAAAACTCGGTCTTGAAAACCACATCCTTCCCACCACAATAATGGACTGAACCTCTGATATTGTAAGCAAACCACCAATTAAATGTTTTCTTTGGCGGTAGTGCACACCTTCAATGCCAGCACTTGGGAGGCAGAGGTAGTTGAATCACTGTGAGTTTGAGGCCAGCCTGGTCTACAAAGTGAGTTCCGGGACAGCCAGAACTCCTGTCTCAAAAAACCAAAACCAAACCAAACCAAACCAAACCAAAAAAAAAAAAAAAAAAAAAAAAAGGAGTGCCTTGGTCATGATGTCTTTTCACAGCAACAGAACAGTGATTAAGGCAGGACCTAAGAAACAATCTGGTGTAGCCATTTTAATCTCTGACAAAATAGGCTTCAAACCAAAACCAATCAGAAGAGATAGGG